CCTGTATGTTGCCTGCAGCTGCTACGTCCAGCTCAGCCAGCTTCCTGGACGCAGGGCCCCCTCGGAGGATGGGGGATTCACATCTCTGCCCGCCCCACCCGCATGTGGCCCCGAGAAAGCCCGATGGGTAGTACCTAGGGTGTCGGGGTCTGCACCACTCTAAGAACTTGTGATCCCCACCCCCGACTCCCACAGACTCACACCCTCAGCCTGGAGCCCAGCGCCCGCTTCCCGTGTCTGTGGTCGGCAGTGCCACCTAAGCCACTTGAACTGGGTCAAGGGGAGTCCAGAACCTGGGGTCTGATGGGGGGAAGCCAGTAGGTGATCAAGCCCCTGGATCTACTCTCTCCTCCCCACTCATTACCTTCTGAACTGAGTCTGAGCAAAGCCCTTAAAGGTGCGGCGGGGTGGGGGGAGAGACATGGGGGCTCTCTGGGCAAGGGTCCTCTGGGGGTGGGGCCTCTCCCTGTGGGGGGCGGGGTGCAGCTGGGCTGAGCGCAGGTCCCTGCATAGCTTGCAGTTTGTGTCTGCGGGCTTGCACCACCCTGGGGAAGTGGGTGCTGGCCGGGAGGGACGGAGAGGGCCGCGGAGACTTCCTGCTGGCTTCTCCAACTTTGCCCAGCAAGTGACTTGGGGTTCAAAGCCTCCAAGGGGGACATTGTGATCCCTTCCCTTTCTGTCTCCCTGTGTTCTTTGTCTTCCTGAGTCCTGATCCCCAATCCTCAGAGTCTCCTCTGCACTTTCCTGTCCTTCGCTCCCGGCCCCACTTGGCAGGGCAGGGAGTGCGCGGGTGAGTCACTGGCCATCGGGAAGCCTGTAGGACGACTGGGTGACATGCCTGCCTTTACATAAGCTCCTGGACCTCGAGAGGAGCTAAAGCAACTTCCCGAGGTCAGCAGAGGCAGGGTTTGCCTGGGGGTTGCACAGTGGGCGAGGGCCAGCTTCCTCTTCGCAGCTTTCTAAAAACGACCTGGTTCCCAGAAGGGGTGAGGGGGGGGAGGGACAAGCTGGTTTCAGTTTCTACGGCAGGGAAGCAGGGGGGAGAGGCCACTTCCTTGCCCCCGGCCGTCATCCTGTCATCCTGTGATTCATCAGGGAACAGACAGGTTCCCCCGCAGAGGGCCCCGAGCTGCCTCCCTTCCCTCTGGACTGCCCCTGGCCCGCTCACCACCCACGGCTCAAAACCCCGGGCCAGGTGGCAGTTTCTTTCTTTCCTTGGTTCAAGGGACCTGAGCCCCTCCCTGCAGGAAGGTCCTCTGAACTTCCTGATCCTGTCCGATCTGGCGGTTCATACCGATCTGCCTCTTTCCTCTACTGGAGGGGATGCTTGCCCCTTGTCCAGGCTCGGCCTCTGCCTTTGTCCCCAGTTCTGGCCACACACAGGCTGAGCCCTGATGCCAGCAGCTGCCGCTCGCTCCTGCGCTGGGATTCTGAAGATCCCGCCCACCGTCGGCATGACCAGGGGAGCGTTCAGAAACCTGCCAGGGCGCCTCAGAGACAGGCGGGCAGGGAGGGGATCGGGCGGCCCCCTCCAGCGCCCGGCCGGAACGTGCGCTGGTAGATCTGTCAGGAGACCTCTCCGGCCGAGGCCTGGCTGTGACTGTCGGGATCGGGCTTAGCTGCTAGGGCCCAGCCCCACCCTTTGTGGGGAAACCACATTTTCTGTGGACATCAGTGAGTGCTTCTGAGTCTGCATTTCTGTCCTGTGTGCCCGATCCTGGCTGCCATCAGCTGGGTCCCACCACTGCTGTGGGCATGGGGGAAGGGTAGCAGACCTGTCACCCCGTGAGCCCCTGGGGGTGATTTGAACTCTGCACCTTCACTCTTTATTGGATCTGTCCCACCCCACCCCATGATGGACTCCACCCCAAGTCCCCTCTCTCCATCCAGGCCCCTTTGAGGTCTTCTAACCAGTCTGGGCTGGGGCTGAAGGTCCTTCTGGGAGAAGGCCCTGCCGAAGCCAGGATCCAGCTAGGGCAGGTGCCATTGGTCTCGCTGGGTGGGAGAGGCTCCCGGCCTGACGTGCTCCCCTGACTCGACCCTGAGGCTGGCCGCTGCATCGGCCCTGGGGGTCTTAGAGAGAGCAGCGGATGTGACTGTGGGCCAGGAGGAAACCCGGTCCCAGGATGTCACAATTTCCTCTGCAGTGAGCAAGCATTTCTGGGGCGTGGGAGATATGTGGTGGGCGGGGTGCTCCCAACGCTCCAGCGCTTTCTCTCTGGGTTCCTCCACGGCCCCACCGCACTACCGGCCCTATCCTCTGCCCCCCACCGCCCCCAGGAAGGAACTGGGATTCTGATACATCTGCCCCCCAACTTCTGCACGAGTTTGGGGCCAGTCTCAGGAGCAGGCTCGCCCCTCCATGGTGGAGAGGGGCCGAGGAGAAGTGGTGTTTTGTACTAAATGTGTGGGCCTCGCGGGCAGCAAAGCTGGGCCGTCACCTTGTCCGACTCCCTTGCTTAGCAGAGAAGGAAAGAGGCCGGGGTAAAGCTGCTTTGCAGGCCAGGATGTGGCCTGGCCCACGAAGATGGTGGAAATGGTCTTGGATACCACACTCCGCCCCAGGAAGGTGCGCACGCAGCCCTGCCTCTGTTCTCCGGGGCCAGGCCTCTTCTCCCTGTGACCCCCAGAAGTGTCTTGGGGCCGGTCCAGTCTCCCCAGCCCTGCCGCCAAAGGTTGTGTCTGCCCTTATTTCCGTCAAGACGGTGGCACCGATGGCCCTTGACACAGCAGGTCCGAGGCTGGGGAGTCTGGGCTGTGTGGGGGAGGGGGGAACAGGAGACCCCGTGGGAGCTCATCCTGGGACAGCATCTGGTCACAGAGCCACAGCAGGGCAGAGGGCACTTCGTGGAGCCTTCCAGAATGGGCTGGGTGCAGGATGGGGGGAGGTAGTTTTGTCCAGGGTCCATATGGACTGACAATCTGAAACCACGCATGTACCCACCGTCCCCCCTCTCCCCTGCCTCCCATCCCATCAGCCTTTAGTGAGGGCTTAACTGTTCCAGACCTGCCTCTGCCTAGGGCTGTGTAGAGGACACCTACGCACAAGCAGTGATGCTGGGAGAGGCAGGTGAGAAAGTGGTTGGTTCTGTCTGGTGACAGCGCAGACTTCCTGGAGGAGGTGACATTTCACCTGGTGCTGCCCAGGCAGATGAGGTGGAGCCTGGTGTGGCCAGGTGAGGTGCCAGGCTTCAGACAAGGCAGTGGGGGCTTGGGAATCTGTAGGGACAGCAGTGTATTAGGTAGGGGCCAGGGCAGGTTCTGAAGGGCACTGGGTGCTTATTCCAGGAAAATGAGTAGTGCTGAGTTCCAGAAGGATCCTACGTACTTGGTGACCTCACCCAAGCTTGGGCTCAGCAGCCCTGCCTTCCCAGCCTTCCTCCGCTGCCTGCCTCCCTCCTTGGGGCCAGTTTCATAGGCCGGTGCCTGCCTGGTGCCCTCTCGCTGCACCGTGGTCCCAAGGGAGACCAAACTGGAGAACTTTCCGTGCAGGGGCCCCAGGTGAGGCTGTTGTCTGGGAGCTGTCCCCAGAGTAGACTCGAAACGGTATCTGAGGAGCTGGCCAGCCCAACGCTGAGGCCCATCTGCCCGTGACCTCTGAGGGACCTCGTCATCCTCTGCCAGCCTGGCCTGAGGGGTGGGGTCAGGACTGCCAGCACTTTGGGATTGAAAGGATGCCTGAGTCTCTCGGTCAAACCCGGAGCAGAAAGTGTCCTGGGCCCCCGGCTCTGCCCCAGATCCCCCTCTGGCACCCACTCCCCACCAAAAGCTCCTCCTGTGGTTGGAAGCCTTCGCTGCCCTGTGGAATCAGAGGGAGGGCGCAGACCTGCCCCCACAGCTCCCCATGGCAGCCCCCGGACCCCTCTTGTTAACCCCAGGCCTCTGAGGAACAGCTCTTAAGTGCTGCTGAGTATAACTTTCCCTGCGGGCTGGACTCTACTCTGTCGCCTGCCCTGATTGGGGGGGGGGGGCGCTGTCTAGCCCCCCGTGGGCTCTAGCTTTGGGCTGGGGGTGGGGGAGCTCCTGTTTCTTAAAGAGACCCAGCTGTTCCCTTCCTGGCTGTGTGAGCTTGGGCAAGTGACCTAACCCTTCTGAGCCTCCGTTCCCATCCACAGAAGGGGAGCAAGGGGAGATGTCTGTTTTGAAAGGTGTTTTGAGGACAAATTGGGATAATGTGTGTGAAGGGCCAAGCCGGGCCTGGTGCACTTCTGAAGACATGATCTGTCCTGTCCCTGGTAGCCGTCGGGGTTGTCTACTCACTGAGGGTCTGCTGCAGTGTCCCCTGGGTCCCCTGTGGGTGTCCTAGAGAGCTCTTCACCTTCAGATGCTTAATTTTATGTTGTGTGGACCCGACCTTGATCAGTTATTTAAAGAACAAATACAACTTCTGGGGCGCCTGGGTGGCTCAGTCGTTTAAGTGTCCAACTCTTGATTTCAGCCCAGGTCATGATTTCACGGTTCGTGGGATCAAGCCCTACGTTGGGCTATACTGAGTGTGGAACTTGCTTGGTCTCTCTGCCCCTCTTCTCCCTCCCCCCATAAGTAAACATTAAAATAAAGATCTAAAAAAAAAAAAAAAGAACGAATACACCTTAAAATCATCTGAACGCTGCCTGAAATACCTGCCTTACTCTAATTGAAATGAAATCTTGATCAGAAGACATCCAGCACTTTGTTTTTAAGTTAAATGTGTCTAGTAAAGTTATGTTGAAACAGAAAAAAAGAGTAGAGACCATCCGGATTTGGGATTCCCACCCTGGAGCTGGGGCTTACAGAGGGCTTTTTAGGTAAAGCCTCTGAGGCGAGAGCCCCCCAGCTGGGCACCCAGCTCACTGTCAGGAGGGGCTCTGATGCCAGGCAGCCAGAACCTATTCTTTAATGCCTCACCCGGGAGGCGGGTGGAATTATCCCCATTTTACAGTTGCATAGACTGAGGTCAGGAAGATTAAAAGGTGCTTTGGTCCCAACATGCCTGCTTGAGTTTGCCCTTCCTTCCTTAGGGGCTGCGCGTGCCAAAGGAACCGCCCTGCTTGGCCTGGAACCGTCTACCTTTGCACCTGCCCACTGAGCTGAAGCTTGGCCCCAGAGCATCTGCAGAGGGAAGGGCTAGAATGTACTAGAACATGCTCTAAAGACCCCTGCAACCAGAGCCAGGAAGCCGTGAGCTCAGCCCAGATCTGAAGGTAGGAACCCGGGGAGCGGAGGGGAGCGGGAAGCGGGGGGTGCGGGGGTGGAGGAGCAGCGGGGGCTGGACTCAAGGCGCCAGGTGCTTTGCTTGTTGGTTTGCTTTTCAACAAGTACGTGCTGATCCTACCGCCTGTGGGCCCGGGGCTCCTCTGGAGGTGGAGATGCAGCAGTGAACAAGGTAGAGAGAGGAAGGCGAGACTTGAAGGGAGGGGGTGGCAGAGGGCTGCTTCAGGCAGTCAGAGGGGGCTCCTTGGAGGAGGCGGCGCTCCAGCTGGAATCAGAATGAGAGGAAGGAGCTTCCTGTTCCACTGTGTGATGATCTGACATGGAGATGGAGGGCCGAGCACAGGCAGAGGCGTGACGTTTATGGAGCGCCTGCCTGAAACTTTTTTAAATAGTTTTATTGAGCTATAACTCACATTTAATCCACAGAAACTGCATCTGTCTACAGTGTACAACCCAGTGGTTTTTCGTGTAGTCACAGGTACGTGCAGCCCTCACCGTCACCTTCAGAATGTTTCCATCACTTCAGAATGAGACACCCCCCCCCACCCTTCAGCTGCTGTCCCGCCCCCTCCCTGAGCCCTAAGCAACAGCTGATCTTTCTGTCTGTAGATCTACCTGGTGCAGACTTTTGCATGAATGGGCTCCTAGAGTTCAAGGTCTTTTGTGTCTGGTTCCTTTTTTTTTTTTTTTTTGTAATGTTTATTTATTTTGAGGCTCAGGAGGGGCAGAGAACGCTAGAGAGAGAATCCCAAGCAGGCTCCCTGCATCAGGGCAGAGCCTGAGGCGGGGCTCAAATTTAGGAGCACTGAGGGGCGCCTGGGTGGCTCAGTCGATTAAGTGTCCGATTTCGGCACAGGTCATGATCTCATGGTTCAAGGGTTCGAGCCCCGCGTCGGGCTCTGTGCTGACAGCTCAGAGCCTGGAGCCTGTTTCAGATTCTGTGTCTGCCTCTCTTCTCTCTGCCCCTCTCCTGCTCATGTGCTCTTCTCCCTCTCTCTCTCTCTCTCTCTCTCAGAAAATAAATAAATAAATAAAAATTTAAAAATTTTTAAAAATTTAAAAAAAAGCAAACTCAGGAGCACTGAGATCATGACCTCAGCCGAAGTCAGGAGTCCACCACTTAACCGACTGAGCCGCCCAGGCGCCCCTCACGTCTGGCTTCTTTGGCTTAGCATAACATCCTGCAAGTTCATCCCTGCTGGACCGTGTCAGCGCTCCCCTCCTGTTTGTGGCTGACAATTCCGTGGTGTATGCGACACATTCTGTTTGTCTGTTGATTGGCCTTGGGGTCGCTTCCACCTTTTGGCCCCGATGAACGTGCCTCCAGGAACCTTCCTGCACAAGGTTCTGGGTGTGTGTCGGGCATTCTGTTGTTTGATGCCCCGGGCGCCTCTCTTGGTGGGGGGAGGTCTTTCCCCCATTATAAGGGGAGGGTTTGGGTGACCTGAGGTCAAGGGCAGGCCTCCGTGCAGGTCAAGCCCAGACCACCCACCTGCAGTGTGCTTGTGACCATGACCCCTCGGCGTCTCCTAGCGGAGCCTAGCAGGTGTGAGACAATGAGGGACCTAGAGAGGTCAGGTCAGCCAGGGGCAAGGAGGAAACTAAGCGAGGCAGGGCTCAAAGCCCGGGTGAGAAGCTTGGACTTGGTTTTAAGGGAGAACAGGCCATCGTGGGGTAGTGTTGAGCAGAGAGTGATGTGGTATGATTGGTGCTTTTTTTTTTTTTTTTTTTTTTTCTGAGAGAGAGAGAGACAGACAGACAGCGTGAGCAGGGGAGGGTCAGAGAGAGAGGGAGATACAGAATCTGAAACAGGCTCCAGGCTCTGAACTGTCAGCACAGAGCCCGACACGGGGCCCGAATCCACGAACCGTGAGATCATGACCTGAGCCGAAGTCGGATGCTCAACCGACTGAGCCACCCAGGCGCCCCTGATTGGTGCTTTTAAAAGGTGGCTTTTGTCGCTGTGTAGAGGATGGTTGTGGGGGGAGGGACAGCAGGTGGAGTGGTTAGGAGGGTGCCTGTGGTCCTTCGGGTGAGAGAAGATGGTGGCTTTGGTGAGGCCGGGTAGAGATGGTGGGGACAGACAGATTCAGAACAAGCATGGCTGCTGTGTCACCCTCTGTCACCTGGAGGGCTCCCGTGTGACTCCCTGAGTCTGTGCACACCCGGGGTCAGCACTGTGTCGGCAGGTGGTGTGGAGCCCCTGGCCTTGATCGAGGGAAGGAGAGACCAACCCTGCTCCAGCAGCTTCGGGAAGCCGGGAGAGGAAATAGCCGCAGATTTTAGCCAGAAAGAGGGCAGAGTGAGTGACAAAAGGAAGAGAAAACAGGCAGAGGGCCTTGACTCTGCTGGAGTCAAAGGGGAAGTGGGGGCTGGTGGCAGCAGTAGGAGTGGAAAAGCCCCAGATTGGGGCAGCGTCAGTAAATTGTCACCTCCTACTGGCAGGGCCATTCCCCAAGATCCCTGGAAATTCAAGACGCACTTATCCTTCCGCCCAGCAACTCCGCTTCTAGAAGCTTTGTCTTGGGGTAGTGCTGGGGCAAGCACACAGTCTAGGTCTAGGCGGGGGTGTCGGTGAACAGACAGACCCAAGTCCAAAATGCCGGAAACACCCTCCACGGCCATCAGTCTGGAATTGATTTAGTCTTGGTACGTTCCACTCAATAAAACCTTTGTAGTCATCGAGAAAGGTAAGGTGGGGGCGCCCGGGTGGCTCAGTGGGTTAAGTGGCACCAACTCTTGATTTCGGCGCAGGTCGTGATCTCACAGTTCATGGGTTCAAGCCCTGTGTCCGGCTCTGCACTGAGTGCAGAGCCTGCTTGGGGAATCTTTCTGTCTGTCTCTCTCCCTCTCGCTCTGCCCCTCCCCCACTCTCTTTCAAATAGACAAACATTTTTTTTTTAAAAAGAAGGATAAGGCAGCTCTGTGTGCATTGATGGGACAAGACGCACATGCCCCGAAAGGAAAGGTTTGGTAGGAGTGTGTGTAAAACCCAAGTGCGTGTGTCCTTTTCCAACTGCACAGAGGCTCCTTACTGGGAGATGGGTGACAGGCAGGCCACGGGCTCACTTTCTGCTTTATTGTCTTCTGGGTCTCTGCTGCTTTGTTTCTGCAGTGAAGCATGCGTCACTTTTATGGTTGGGATATAGCATTTTTCCTCCCTGAAAAGAAAGAAGGACCAGACAGGTGGCAGTTTCAGTTACCTTTGAAAAAGGAACCAGGCAGCCCAGGGGATGGGAACCAGCGTGGTGGCTTTCTCCTCCATCTGCAGGCAGGCTGAGCCACTACTTCCCTGCCCACACAGCTGTGGACCTCTCGTCTGGCTAGCGCCCCGCCAGGTGGCCCTGGAGCCTCTTTGTCCTCCCCCAGGCCCTGCCCCCAGATCAAAAGCAGCCCTCGGGCCCCTGGCCTACTTTGACCGGGCTGACAAGACGGCCAAGGTCACCACTGCAGCTCTGTCCTTTGCCCTCAGGCTCCTTTCTGGGTGTGGTCCTTGCCTGAAGCAGAGAGACCAGCAATGGAGGGAGGTGGAAAGGTGGGGATTTCCCAGGCCCCCTACTGGCCTGGAATGCAAATGATGGACTGAAATAGACCTTGCAATACCCCCCCCCACACCCCCCCAAGTTCAGATTCAGTCTCTGCTGCGAGGTTTAGACCCCGGAGTTAAGTGTGACCAACTTTCTGCAGGTTGTTCTTAGCCTGAGCCACCTGCCCTGGCAGCAGGGTCCCCAGGTCCCCGCCTGTCTTGCCACCTCTCGACACACTTGTGCCCCTCTCCCTGTTTCCATTCCAGCCGCCCGGCCCCCCCTCCCCCGCCCGCCATGGCCTCGGCCGACAAGAACGGCGAGAGCGTTTCCTCCGTGTCCAGCAGCCGCCTGCAGAGCCGGAAGCCGCCCAACCTGTCCATCACCATCCCACCACCCGAGGCGCTGGCCCCTGGCGAGCAGGCTAGCATGCTGCCCCAGGTAAAGGGGCAGCTGGACGCCCACCGCCCTGCGACACGTAACAGCTGAGCCCATGCAGCACCGCTCGGGCAGAGGAGGCCCCTCCTGGCTGAGCCCCAGCTGCCTGGGTAGCCCCTGACTTAGGCCTGTGCGCCCTCCTCCCTCCCCAGACATCACAGTGAGTGGGCCCTGTGCTCAGGAGCTGGGTCTCCCGGTGGCCAGTAGCCAGGGATGTGCGGTCCTCAAGAAAGCCTCCCGGTTCCACCCAGGACGCGCTATTTCCCTTTCTGTGCGAGCCCCTCCACATCACCACCACCCCCCCCAGGGGCGAGGACTGTCAGACTTGGGGGAAGGGGCCCCGTGCGCTGGGCATCAGCGGCCTGACCCTGCAGCGCCTGGCTCCTGTGGAGAATGGAAATGAGCAGTGTCACCGACAGGCTGGACCAGCGCTCCATAAAGGGCTCATTGAGAGCAGGCTTGAGGCAGTGTCCTGGGGCATAAAGGGGTGCTGTGTTGGTGCCACCCACTCACCCTGGGGGGCTCCTTCATGTACAGGGAACCAGGAGGGAGTGCTGGGAGGGAGCTAGGAAATCACGCTCGGGTTCACTGAAGAGCGTTAGAAAATGGTGACTTGACAGGTGGAAGGAAAGCAGCCCAGGGCTCGTAAATCAGGGGGTGAAGCTTGTTCTCCGTGCTCTCACGTAGGGAGCCAAAGAGCCAGGCCAGGGCACGGGCGCCACCAAGTCCCAGCCTGTCCCCCCACAGAGGCCCAGGAACCCAGCCTACGTGAAGAGCGTCAGCCTCCAGGAGCCACGGGGAGGACGCCAGGAGGGCAGCTCGGAGAAGCGCCCTGACTTCCGCCGCCAGGCCTCCCTGTCCCAGAGCATTCGAAAGTGAGCACCCTTCCCGGCGCCCCCATCCCCGGCAGCCCTGCGGACCTTCTCTGGACCTTTCCTGGGTCCCCTTCCTAGAAGGAGCAGGCAGGCCTTAATGAGCAGCCCTCCCTGCGGGGCTAGAACGTGAGGGTCCGTTAACACCGTGTTGTGGGGGGAAACTGAGGCCCCAGGGCGGCGTGTGCCTCGGCACCTATCCCCCCACCCACCGCACGTGCATGGCATCGCCTCCCACATCCCCTCCCCTGCACACAAGTGCACCGCGCCCTTCCACCTCACGTCCCCCCCACACGTGCCCTGTCCCGCTTCGGGGCTTCGTCCCCACGGTGCGCCCACACCCGCGGCTCCCGCAGGGGCACAGCCCAGTGGTTCGGGGTCAGCGGCGACTGGGAGGTGAAGCGGCAGCACTGGCAGCGGAGAAGCCTGCACCACTGCAGCGTGCGCTACGGCCGCCTCAAGGCCTCGTGCCCGCGGGACCTGGAGCTCCCCAGCCAGGAGGCGCCGTCCTTCCAGGGCACCGAGTCCCCAAAACCCTGCAAGATGCCCAAGGTGGGTTCCGTGGGGAGGGGGTCAGGGGCAAGGGGGGCCGGCAGTGGCAGGCGACCCAGCCCAGGGGCCTGATCTGCTCTCTCCTCCCTCTCTTCCAGATCGTGGATCCGCTGGCCCGAGGACGGGCGTTCCGCCACCCAGATGAGGTGGACAGGCCCCACGCCCCACACCCGCCACTGACCCCCGGGGTCCTGTCCCTCACGTCCTTCACCAGTGTCCGCTCTGGCTACTCCCACCTGCCCCGCCGCAAGAGGATGTCTGTGGCCCACATGAGCTTTCAGGCGGCCGCCGCCCTCCTCAAGGTGAAGATGTCCCTGCCCGGCCCCCCACGGCCCCTCCGTCTCTCTCCCCAGAGCATCCCCCGGAACTCACCCGGGCGCGTCCCTCTGTGCCAAGGGCAGTGGATGCACGGGATTACCTGGCAGAGGGAGGGGCCCGGCCCATGGCCTTCCAGCCCCAGCGCTCTAGGGTTTGGGAAGCGGGGTTCTGCACCCCCTGGGCTGGGAAAGTCAGAAGGGAAAGGTACACGCACCGCCCGCTCACCGGAGTGTACTTGGCCCCTGTGATGTGCTGGGCACAGGGGCTGCAGAGTGAAACGAGCCAGTGTCCCTGCCCTGGAAGAGCCCGCAGTCCCGAGGGGACACGTGTCCCCAGTCCGCGTGATGAGTGCCGGGGTCTGTGCAGGAGATGGGCTCGTGTCAGGGAAGGGCCCGTGCAGAGCCCGGGAGGTAGGAGTGGGTGTGGCGCGTCGGGGCCAGAGAGGTGGGCAGGGGCACAGTGTGTGTGGCCCGAAGCTGGGGCTGGGGGAGATGGCCCGAATTTGGGGACTAGGGGTACAGAACGAGTGGTAGGGAGTTCGCTGCCCAAGCCAGAGGGCAGGAAGTCAGCAGGGAGAGGAGCATGGCCAACTGGCGGCGGAGCGCTCCGTTCAGGGCTACAGAAGGAGGTGCTCTGCCCAGGGAGGATGGGCTTGCTGGTTCCTTGGGGGGCGGGGGGGACTGATGCCCATGCCTCTGTCATCACAGGGGCGCTCAGTGCTGGATGCCACGGGACAGCGGTGCCGGGTGGTCAAACGCAGCTTTGCCTACCCCAGCTTCATGGAGGAGGACGTGGTCGATGGGGCAGACACATTTGACTCCTCATTTTTTAGTAAGGCAAGCATGGGGTGAGGGCCTTGGGGACAGGGTATGGGGTGGCCTGGGAGTCAGGAAGAGGGGACCTGGCCTTGATCATGCTGTGCCAGGAGCCCCTGACAGTCCAAAGGCCCACTGGTGAGATGGGATGTGCCGCCCCATGGAGCTCCTGGGCCCCGGTCCTACTGTCGGGGACCTGGCGGGGCAGAGTGCCAGCCGGGAAAGTCACCGTCAGGGCTGCCAGGCACGTGTCCGCCACTTCCCTCCCAAAGAGCCTGTCCAGGCTTTGTTCTGTCCTTGGACTGAGCTGTGGGGAGCAGCTTTGGGGACAGTGACTCCTCACACTGTCTTTGTGTGTGTCCCCCGCTCCACCCCACCCCAGGAAGAAATGAGCTCCATGCCCGATGATGTGTTTGAGTCTCCCCCACTCTCGGCCAGCTACTTCCGGGGGATCCCACGCTCGGCCTCCCCCGTCTCCCCCGATGGGATACAGGTCCCTCTGTGAGTTCCGGGCATCCTTCCTCCCAGTGGAGGGAGGCGGTGCAGCGGGCTGTGGCTCCCCCAGACCGCAGGTCCCTCCCAAGCCCCCTTCTGGGAGGTGCGGGGTGGGGGTGGGGGGAAGGGGCAGCAGGCTGACAGCCCTCCCCCACCAGGAAGGACTATGGCCGAGCCCCAGGGCCCGGGGCCAGGCGCAGCAAGCGCATCGCCTCCAAGGTGAAGCACTTTGCCTTTGACCGCAAGAAGCGGCACTACGGCCTGGGCGTGGTGGGCAGCTGGCTGAACCGCAGCTACCGCCGCAGCATCAGCAGCACCGTGCAGCGCCAGCTGGAGAGCTTCGACAGCCACCGGTGAGCAGCGCGGTGGCCGGCTCCGGGAGACGGGCTGTGCGCCCGGCTCTCAGGCGCCTGCCGGCAGAGGGGAGGAGGGCCGAGAGCCACCCACGGAGGTCTGGGAGCTTCCGGCCTCCCCAGGACCCTCTCCTGCAGCTCCCCCGCGTCCGGGCACTTGGCGAGCACCTCCTGTGGGTGAGGACGGCGGGGACAAGGCCTCAGGGTTTTGCCCTACAGGCAAGCGTGTCACCTGCGAGGGGTCCTAGGGTGCCTGCTGCCTCTTCACCCTCCCTGCTTCCTTGGCCTGTATCCTCAGCCTGGCTCCTGAAAGCAGTCAGTCGACAAGCATTCGAGCGCCGTCACACGGGCCCCGGAGCAGCTCCGACAGGCACAGGGAGGGCACGGTGGGCCAGAGGGACAGATAGAACCGTGGACTATGAGTGAGGGGGGCGTGAGGCAGGATGCGCACAGAGACCTTGGGGGAAATTAGAGGATTGGAGAGTGCCTCACAGTGTGCGATGGGCAGTGACCCGATAGCCGTTAAGCCCCAAACGTTAAAAAAATATTAAGTAATAAGTGTAGCGGGGCGCCTGGGTGGCTCAGTCGGTTAAGCGTCTGACTTTGGCTCAGGTCATGACTCACAGTTGGTGGGTTCGAGCCCCGCGTCGGGCTCTGTGCTGACAGCTCAGAGCCTGGAGCCTGTTTCAGATTCTATGTCTCCCTCTCTCTCTGACCCTCCCCTGCTCACACTGTCTCTCTCAGAAATAAATAAAACATTAAAAACAAAACAAACAAAAAAAGTGTAGCAAATGTCCCAAGGAGGACAGAGAGTGAGAGTGAACTGGTGAGGAGGGGCGCAGCCAGCATGAGCAGGAGTTAGCCCAGTAAAGAGCGATGTGAAGAGCATTGCTGACAAAAGAAGCACCATGTATAAGGCCCTGGGGTTGCAAGGATCATGGATTGTTCCAGGAACTGTGAGAGAAATTCGTGGGTGGGCACAGTAATAAGGCCTTGCAGCCAGCAGGAGGCAGTGGTGTTAGACTTAATTCCAAGGTGGCAGGAAGCTGGGAGAGAGACACGTCGGGGTGCATTTTTTTTAACGCTTATTTATTTTTGAGAGAGAGGGCGCAAGCTGGGGAGGGGCAGAGGGAGACAGGATCCGCGCTGATGGCAGAGAGAGGAGAGAGCATCAGCAGGGCTTTCACGGACTTCAAGATCATGACCTGAGCTGAAGTTGGACGCTTCACAGACTGAGCCACCCAGGCGCCCCTCTAGGGATGCATTTTTTAAAAAATATTTTTATTTATTTCTAGGAGAGAGAGACAGCGTGAGCAGAGGAGGGTCAGAGAGAGAGAGGGAGTGACAGACTCTGAAATAGGCTCCAGGCTCTGAGCTGGCAGTCAGTACAGAGCCCGACGTGGGGCTCGAACCCATGAACCGTGAGATCATGACCTAAGCAAAAGTCGGACGCTTAACCGACTAAGCCACTCAGGTGCCCTTGTAGGGATGTATTTTAAAAGTCCCTGTGGTGGAGGACGAGTTGGAGGGGGGATGAGCTCGACAGGCTGAGGGCTGGGATGTGGGTTCAGCTCTGCTGACCCAAGGCCTGTTCCCCAGGCCCTACTTCACCTACTGGCTGACCTTCGTCCACATCATCATCACACTGCTGGTGATCTGTACCTATGGCATCGCGCCCGTGGGCTTCGCCCAGCACGTCACCACCCAGCTGGTGGGTCAGGCTGAGGGAGGGGTGCTCCACTGGTGGGGGGGGGGTCCCACCTGCCTGAGAGGCATCAGGGTCATCTGCCACTGAATCCTTCCACCAGTGGCCTCCCTTCACTATATAGCTCTACCCCTAGGCTCCACCCCTTGGGCCCTACCCTGGGACGGGGAGCCCCCTGATCCCCCTCCTTCTGCCTCTGCCCCAGGTGCTCAGGAACAAAGGTGTGTATGAGAGCGTGAAGTACATCCAGCAGGAGAACTTCTGGATCGGCCCCAGCTCGGTGAGGGGCCCAGCGGGTGGGACAGCCCCCGTCCAGGCAGGGTGTCGGCTTGCCCAGGGGGTCCCCTCAGGGGAACCTCAACAGAGTGGCCAGCTCAGGGCCCACACTTACTCTTTGCCCACCCCCAGATCGATTTGATCCACCTGGGAGCCAAGTTCTCACCCTGCATCCGGAAGGACCGGCAGATCGACCAGCTGGTGCTTCGGGAGCGAGACCTTGAGCGGCACTCGGGCTGCTGTGTCCAGAACGACCACTCGGGCTGCATCCAGACCCAGCGGAAAGACTGCTCGGTGGGGCCAGCCCTCCGCTTGCCATACCTTCGGGAGGGTCCCTGGAGGACAGTGGCCTCATCATCCCCTCCCTCCTTCCTCGCCCCACACACCCCTGCACGCAGGCTGGCACAGGGAGGGTGCCGGCTTCCCCAGCCCTGGACGAGTGGGAGCCGGGTCTCGGGAAGGTCAGCGGGGGTGGAGAGAGGTCTGGGAGATGGGTCTGAGCCCTGAGGACGAGCGGAAGAGGCCCCGTCCTGGAGGGTCCCTCGGCCACTCCAACGGGGGCGACGTTGGCTCAGTCATAACCAGCCCTCCTCCGTCCTCCAGGAGACTTTGGCCACTTTTGTCAAGTGGCAGGATGACACGGGCCCCCCCATGGACAAGTCTGATCTGGGCCAGCGGCGAACGTCAGGGGCAGTGTGCCATCAAGACCCCAGGTACGGCCCCAGGGTGGCCCACACCGGGGCCCTGAGAAGATGGGTTTGCGTATCCTGCCCTGTGCCTCCTGCAGGGAGTGTAAGGCTTGGGGGGGGTGGGGCACAGCTCCTCATTTTGCCCCCCCACCCCTCCCTCCAGAACCTGTGAGGAGCCAGCCTCTAGCGGCGCCCACATCTGGCCCGACGACATCACCAAGTGGCCAGTGAGTGTCTGGGGTGGAGCTCGGTCAGGGAAGGGCAGGGAGGGGGTGCCTGGCGCTGCCCAGGCCCAACCCAGTGTCCACGCCGGCAGATCTGCACGGAGCAGGCCAAGAGCAACCGCACCGGCTTCCTGCACATGGACTGCCACATCAAGGGCCGCCCGTGCTGCATCGGCACCAAGGGCAGGTGAGCCAGCCTGGCACCTCACCCCGGGAACCCCAGCGCCCGGCACCCCGCGGCACCCAGGCTCCAGGCACCCCGGCACCCCCCTGCACCTGGCACCCCGCCCAGGGCTTCCTCTTATCCTCTGTCACCACCCACCACCCTGGGCCAGTGTCCTCCCTCCCTGGTGGGACACTGGGGTCACCCGTAGTGTCAGGATGAAGGGAGCTTGTCCCAGAGCTAGGGTCCCTGCTGAGGGGCCCCCCCCTTTCTGCCAGGGATGCCTGCTGTGGCCGGGCCGTGGGCACAAGGTGAATGTGCAAGAGTCCTCAGGGCCCTGATGCATGCCCTTGCCTCCTTGGCCCCCCAGCTGTGAGATCACCACCCGGGAATACTGTGAATTCATGCACGGCTATTTCCATGAGGAGGCAACACTCTGCTCCCAGGTGAGGCAGGGCCTGGCGGGGCCCTGAGAGGGAGGAGGCGAGCGCGGCAGCCTGCCCGAGCTGGCCTCATGCGTCCCCTCCTGCAGCGGGGGCCCGGCTCTGCCCCCCTACAATGTCAGGGCTCGCTGGGTGGAGGGCACTGACCTCCACATGCTTGGCCTCAGGTGCACTGCTTGGACAAGGTGTGTGGGCTGCTGCCGTTCCTCAACCCCGAGGTCCCAGATCAGTTCTACAGGCTCTGGCTGTCTCTGTTCCTCCATGCGGGGTAAACGACCCCTGGCTGCCCGCCCCTCCCCCCCAGACCCCAGTGATGTCTGCCTGCCCCCCCCCAGGCCCCTGTGATGTCTGCCTGTCCCCCCAGGCCCCTGTGATGTCTGCCTGCCCCACCCTCCCCCAATCCCCGAAGGGGGGCTCCTAGGCCAGGGCACAGCTGGCACAACCCCCCAGACCCCCCCAGGCCCTGCAGTGTCTGGCTGGCGGCCGCAGGCAGATGCCCGATGGCTGATGCCTGGTGCGCCCCCCTTGCCAGCGTGGTCCACTGCTTCGTGTCTGTGGTCTTCCAAATGACCATCCTGCGGGATCTGGAGAAGCTGGCCGGCTGGCACCGCATCGCCATCATCTTCATCCTCAGCGGCATCACCGGCAACCTCGCCAGCGCCCTCTTCCTCCCGTACCGGGCGGAGGTAGGGACTCAGAGGGGGCAGGGCAGGGAGGGCCAGCTCTGCTGCTTCCCACCCTTCCGCCCACTGTTCTGCCAGGGGACACACGGCCGTCCTGTGCCAGGCTCAACAGCAGATGGACAGCTAAGCTGTGGGCTTATTGGCTGATCCCTAATCCCCGGGTGCAAGGAGCAGCAATGCCCCTGAGTCTTGCTCAGGCATCCCCTCCAGACCTTCCCAGATCCTGTCCCTCCCTTTGTTCACCTCTGCTTCATTCCTCTGCGTGACCATGACCCCTGCCTTCCTGCCACATATCTGTGGGCTGAGCTGCACAAAATCGCCAACATGAGACCGCTCTCAACCCACAGAAACCGCAACAGGTTTCTGATCAGCTCGACCTAACGTCGTTGGCTTGCTCAGTGTCTGTCTGTCCCACCGTACGCTGCCTGGAGTGGCTTGTCGGTTGCGCTGATTGCACTGACCACCCACTGGGCACATAGCAGGTCCTCAGAGTTTGTAGAAAGTGTGGGTGCCGCAAGCCCAGCTTTGGCCCAGCAGCTGCAGCTGCTCCCTGACTTGCCCCCTCCGCCCCAGGTTGGGGGTCCCTGTGCCTGGGAGGAGCCCACCCATAGGCTAACCCAGATCCCGGGGCTCCAGCCGGCCCAGCCCGGGCTTCCCATGAGGCACCTCGAAATGACCCTTCTCCCCTCCCCCGCCAGGTGGGCCCGGCCGGGTCGCAGTTCGGCCTCCTCGCCTGCCTCTTCGTGGAGCTCTTCCAGAGCTGGCAGCTGCTCGAGCGGCCCTGGAAGGCCTTCTTCAACCTGTCGGCCCTTGTCCTCTTCCTCTTCATCTGCGGCCTCCTGCCCTGGATCGACAACATCGCCCACATCTTCGGCTTCCTCAGCGGGGGGCTGCTGGCCTTCGCCTTCCTGCCCTACATCACCTTTGGCACCAGCGACAAGTACCGCAAGAGGGCCCTCATCCTGGTCTCGCTGCTGGTCTTCGCCGGCCTCTTTACCTCGCTGGTCATCTGGCTCTACGTCTACCCCGTGCACTGGCCCTGGATCGAGTACCTCACCTGCTTCCCCTTCACCAGCCGCTTCTGCGAGAAGTACGAGCTGGACCAGGTGCTGCACTGACCGCCTGCCCCCCGGGCGGGGCATCGCTGCTGCCCACAGGGCGCTGGGGGCACCGGGGCCCCAGGCCGCAGCCCTGAGACCCGCTGCCAGGGGGCCCGGGCTCTCCCTCCACCAGGCCAGGCAGTCACAAGGGCGGGGTCCCCCGGGGCAGTGATTCCTTTCCCAAGGTCCTCAGGCTTTGTCCGTCCCCCCACTCAGCCTCTGTTGGTGTCTCCTGGCCACACACGCACACAGACACAGACACCATCACTGTGAGAGTGCCCTTACTCGGACGTGGGCAGGGTGCCCACCCCTGCCTCACCATGCCAGCCTTCCTGCCTGTTTCTCCTCCCGTCTCTGCCCTAAGAGCCCATGTCCCTTGTTCATCGGTGGCCTGGTGAGCCTGCCCTTAATGCTCCTGCAGCAGACTTGTGGGAAAGGCTTTGCCGTGGTCTGAGGCAGAGAGAGAGCACCGAGACCCGGTTAGGCGGGGAAGCTGGGAGCCTCTGCTTGTTCTGAGCACACAGAGGCTGTCCCCTCTGTCCCTCCTGGCCCTCCCTTCAAGTCAGTGTTCTGCCTCACGGGGCTGGCTCTGAGAAGGCCGGCCCTGCCCCACTCTGCCTCACTCCTGCCCAGGTTGGGGTGGGGGCTGGGCTACTCACTCCTGCCCAAGCTGGGGTGGGTTCCCAGGGGTTGCCCAAGGCTCAGTCAGACCCGTTTTTTACTGGTTTATATTAAGGTTCTAATTTTTAAAAGTAACGCTAACTTTATACATGGATGATGTCTCAAATGTATTAAATGATATTCTTTAGAAATTTCATCTTTGGACCCGAGGGGCTCTAGCAGAATGAAAGCTGGAACTTTATTTGGGGTGCGGGGTGAGCCCAAGGCGATGGTGGAAAAATTGCGGGGGATTTGGTTGGACCAGAAACCAGGTTTGGGGCCCCAGGGGGTCCCTTGAGAGGGCGGGGTTAAATGCCTGGGCCCCAGGGGGGCGTGAGGGTCTGGCTGCCCCCAGCAGAGATGGTGGGGGGAAGGCAGCCCCCGGTGCGTTCACCGTGCCCCACGCACAGCCCTCGCCCCACATCAAGAAGCCACGTGGAAGGTTATGCCACGCAACCACTTTATTAGAGGGGAGAGACTCAGGGTGTGTGAGACCAGGGGTGGAGGGTACACAGGGTGAGCTTGGGGGTGGCCCCTGCTCTTTCCTGAGCCCAGCTACACCTCATTCTGGGGCTGAGGATGCGAAAGGGAATTGTGAGGCTGGGGAGAGGAAGGGCCTTCTGAACACCAGGCCCGTCCCGTGAGGGTGAGGGTGTAGCCTGCCGGGAGGCTCCACCGTTGGTTCCTGAGAACGAAGGAGTCGCTGGGGTGGGCGCAAGGCCACTGCCTGCTGTCCCCCATTACCAACCTCTCCCCACCTCTGGCGATTTGGAATGCAGGGGGTCCAGAGAGCCGCACAAGGACAGGCTGGGAGGGAGGTGTACCGCCTCCGCGGTTGCCAGGCAGCTGGGCTGGGGACAAAAGGGGACATCGGGGCTGGGTGGGAGCCCCCATCCTGCCTCCCCAGAGCTCCAGCACCTGGCTGCGGGCCCTCTGGGGATCACAGCCAGGTTGGAGGGGGGTGAGGGGGGGAGAGCGGGGAACGCAGACTTCAGCAGCCGCTGTTCCTCCTCCGGGAGGCATGGTCCCGCATGGAGCGCTGGAGCTCACTGAAAGTGTAGGAGCCCAGCTTGATGGCGCACCGGCCCACAAGGCTGAAGCCGAATTTCTGGTAGAAGGGCACCAGCCTGTCTTCACACATGAGCACGGCCCGGCGCACTGTTGGCTGGCCGCCCAGGTAGCGCAGGAATCGCCACATCAGGATGAAGCCCTTGCCTTGCCCCCGGAAAGTGTGGTGCACGGCCAGGGCGCGGAGGTGGGCAGTGTGGCCCCCAGGCCGGTGCAGCTTCATCGACTCCTGGGGACGGGCAGGGGAAGTGAGGCCAGCGCATCTCTGTCAACACCTGCCTCCCAAACCAGCCCCACCCAGCCAAGAGCAAGCTCCTCTCGGGTGCCTCCAGTCGGGGCTCCGTTCCTACCCACGGAGGGCCCCAAATTGAGAACTGTACTCTCAGCCCCATGAAGGACCCTTCTGGAAGGCCTTTGAACCCCCAAGAGGTGGGTCCTTTTGACCCAGGAGAGGACCAGAGGAAGAAATCCCAGCCCAGGGGCTCCTCTGCCTCCCTCTAAGCTAGAGAAGCCGGGGCCTGGCGGTGGCAGCCTCCCTCCCGGAGGCCGAGTCCCCCAGCCCCGTCCTGCCCTCACCTGAGTGAGTCTCTCCTGGTCCCAAAGTGAGGCCATGATGAAAGCCACAAGGCGACCCTCCTGGAACCAGCCCATGGATAGCTCAGGACACAGGGTCAGGAAGTGCTTGATCTCATCCGGGTATAAAGGGCAGATGCCCAGGACAGAGATGAAGGCTGGAAGAGGAGGTACGGCAGGTGACTCAGTGGTCCCCATGCCTCTGGCCGCTGCACACCAAGTGTCTGCTCAGAAGCCCAGGTGTGGTTTCCCACTCCCCTCCCCCATGGGAAACCAGGGGATTCAGGGTCCTTCCCATCCCTGCTTTGTGTGCGTGTGTGCACGCGCGGGCGCACACACACACACTCATTCTGATACTCCCGGGCTCCAGCCACCAAGGACAGCGGCTCCTCCCCATGGGCAGACCCTGTGCGGGGCCCACTCACCTTCACGCTCAATCTCAAACACGCTGGTAGCGTCCTCTGGGGTGAGGCAGCGAAACTCGCTGGCGGGAAGCGTATGACTCCGCTGGCGGCCTGGGGCCTTTGGAATCCCAGGCTGCGGGGGTGAGGCCTCGGGCTCCAGGGGGCTCGTGCTCTGTGTGGACATCCTGGATGCTGGTGCCTCCTCGGGGTGCCCCAGCTTCAGAGGCGGCCAGAAAGGGCCCTCCAGCACCTGTCAGAGGGGAGCGAGAGTCAGGGGCATGGTCCGCATCTCCGGTAGGGGCCGGCCAGGGGGAGGACGTCTCTTGCCTCTTGTAGCCGGACCTGGGGTCAGGTGAGTCCCAAAGCAGATTCTGGGGACTGTAAACATCGGTGCCCTCTCCCCTCCTGTCCCTTCTCAGTCAGAGGTACCCGCAGAACAGCCCTTCCAAACCCCCAGTTCCGGCATCCCTTCCCTCCAGGGACATCTAAGCCTCAGGAGGCGGTGGGCAGGGTGGGCAGGGCTCCGCAGAGCCTCGGGCACCCGACACTGCCGCCCAAGGTGGGAGGGGGGGCCACTGACTACTTCTAACACATTTGTCCTGTCCGCCCAGAAGGAGACTTTCTGGACCTTCGGGTGAAAGATTCCACGGCTCCAGCTCTTGAGGTGGCTTCAGCCCTTGACACTGGAGCAAAAGACCTTTCATCAAAGTGGGTTCTCAGGGAACCTTCACATCTACTCAGACGGCCTCAGACTGGATGGTGCACACCCGGGGAAGGCATCAGGCGAGCAGCAGTAGCCTGAGGGAGCAGGGAGTGGGCCTGGGGAGCATGGGAGACCCCCCTGCCCTGCCCCTGGCTCACCCGCCCCCTGTGGTGCTTTGTCTCTCCCAGGATGCCCTGCGGATTCTTAGAGGAGGCTGTCCTTCCCTTACAAAGCCCCTGGCTTCCCTATGTGCCTCGACCCTCCTCCTCGTCTCTTCCTCCCTACATCCAGGAGCCCCAGGCCGGGCATCTCCTATTCCTGAAGGCTGGGTGCCAGGGGCAGGGGTCCCACTTACCAGCTCCCTGAACAGGGGCCCAGTGTTCCCACCACAGAGCCGATCCCCCTGGAGGTGGCCTGCAAGCACAGGAGCCTCCCCCTCGGCGTGCGGCTTGCCTTCCGCAGCAGGTGTCTACGGGGAACATGTGATGTTCTCACTGATTTATAATCCCTGTCCCGCCTCCGTGTCATACCCGCAGGACAAAGCCAGCAGGGTGTTGGGCACAGTGCTCTGTCCCTGCCTGCTGAGGGTCAGACATCAGCACAACACACTGGGTACACAAAGGATTACTGTGATTGATTAAGGCCCCAGAATGTGGGAGGAGGAGCACAGGGCTAAAGCCTCAGGGGTCCGGTCTAATCCCTGCCCTGGCTCTGCCTGGCTGGGACAGGCATTCACCCTTTGTGCTCCGGAGGCTTGGGCAAGCCCACCTCCGAGGGGCCTTCCATCTCCTGCAGGCCATTTGTAGTGCCTGCTGTGTGCTGAGCTGCAGGGAAGAATGGCCTTTAATCCACATGACAGCCCTTCCCAATACTAACCCCATTTTATAGAGAAAAAAACTGAGGCTCAGAGAGGTTGAATAACCTGCTCAGAGCCCCCTGGCAAGTCACTGAGGCAGAAAAGGCAACCCCAGGTCTGTCTTCCTATATCATGCCCTTACAGGGTGTGTTGCTTTTCCACACAGCAGATACACGACTTCATGGCCCTACTGACCATCAGACTGTGTTCTCAGGTCAGGGTCTCCTAAAGCGAAGGGAGCAGTGAGTGGCCCATCAACCTTGGGAGGAAATGCCCAGATCTCAGTGAGCCTGGAGAGGCAGGCAGGGCCGGAGGCAGCAGTATTCAGACCCTGCTGTGTAGACAGTGGCAAGCCACTGATCACAGCCTTCTGTGTCCTGCTCCCATAAACTACCTCCTCCAGGGATAGTATAACCAGCATTTCTCTTTCCAGAGTGCTCTGGGGAAAAGCCCCAGGTCCAGAAGTAAGAGTCAAAGCTTCATGCTCACTGCTCGCTCACCACCTGTCCCAAAACCAGCCTAAAGAAGCAAGAGGTCCTTAGCGACTCATGCCCCCTGCCGTCGCCCTGGTACTTGGCCTGGCCTCCCACACTGGCCATTACCCCGAGGTACTTCAAGAACGCCAAGGTGGTGCGGCCGCCACTTTGGAAGACTCCTGCTAAAGCTGGACCCATGCCCTGGGACCCACAATCCCACTCAAACACCGAAAGAGCTAGAAGGGTCCCCAACTGGAAGCAGCCCAAAGGACCATCCATGCTAGAAGGGACTATGGAATATACGCAAAATGAAGGATCATTCGGCAATGAGAACAAACGACCGTGATGACACAGGGCATCCCCGAGGACACTCCCCCCAATGAAAGAAGCCCCAAAACAAGGATTTTGAAACAGAACCCACGAGTCTGTGGATTGTTTCTGTCCTAATTTGTGGTAGAAGTAGCGGCTGCCCAAGGAAGGGCTTCTGGGGTGCTGGTAATGTAACATTCAGTTCTTAAATTGAATGAGGGAGGTGGAAATTCATTTTGTGGGAAATTTGTGCCCTTTTGTGTATGTACGTACACTCTACTTGAAGTTTACTTAAATATTCCAGAGAGTCTTCCATCAGTTACACCCGCTCCAAAATTCCTTAAATACCAATGACCTTGGCTGCACCCCGTGGCCAAAGCTGCCCCCCCCCCGGGGGTGGCATCAGCACCTGCTGTGAGTTTTCCCTTGGGAATCTTGAGCCCCAGTCAATGGTCTCCTGGGACTCCTTCTTCCCCACCTCCAGGACCTCAGACATGCAGACTTCCCTTCTTCTTCTTCTTCTTTTTTTTTTTTTAATTATTTTTGGTTTTTTTTGAGACAGAGAGACAGAGCACGAACTGGGGAGGGGTAGAGAGAGAGGGAGACACAGAATCTGAAACAGGCTCCAGGCTCTGGAGCACAGAGCCTGACGTGGGGCTCGAACCCACGGACCGCGAGATCATGACCTGAGCTGAAGTCGGACGCCCAACCGACTGAGCCACCCAGGCGCCCCTGCAGACTTACCTTCTTTCCCTCCAGCTCACACCCCTCCTGCAGCCTTAGCGCTTCCCTTGCTGGAACCCACCCCTGTCCTGCCCTATCGAGGCCTGGTTTCTAAGCCTGCACTTCAGCACTGCTGCCCCGTCCACCCGCCGCAAAAGGAAGGCCTGCTCTTACAATGGTTCCGGAGCCCTGCCTGCGTGGCTCTGACACTGGGGTCCCCAGCCCAGCCCAGATGCCCACCACAGGCACACCCCTATCTGTGGGGTCCCTTCCTCCCAGGGCCTCTCTGCTGTGTGAGGCCCAGCAGAACCCCCAGAGCTTAACATGCCCCCCAGCCCAACTGCTACCAGGCACTCCCTGTCTTTCCCCTTCTGGGGACCCACAACAGACCTCTCAGGACTGCCTAGAAGACCTCCTCACGCGTGGCTATAGGGCCTGGTTGGGGAGACCTGTCCAGGACTGGGGCTGGGCACCTCTAGCCCCAACCTCAAGGTCTCAGGAAAGGCCTTCTCTGTCCTTCTTAGACCCTGTGGCTCCACTGCACCCCCTCATGCCCATCACTACCCCCCATCACCACCAGAGAAGAGGAGGCTGTTGAATCTGCCTCTCTTTTGATTGACCACTGTATGACCCTATTCTTTCTGGAAAACACCTCTAGACACACGGAACCTCAGAGACCAAGACATTATACTAAACACGGCTACTGGGGGGCCCGATCCCCCAAAGGGGCAAGGGAGGGAGGGGGAGGGGGATCTATCGCCATCAACTGGAAGGGGATGACAATATACCATGAATGATGAGAAGGAAAGAGATGATTGAGGGGCACCTGGGGGTGATGAGGACAGAGAGGGACGCCCTCTGTAGTGAGATCAAGAGAAAGGTCAAGAGTGACTGCATTTATCTCTAGTCCCAGCCTTGCTGAGGGATAATCGTGGAGGCATTTCAGAACACCAACCACTTCTGGACACCAGGGCATCCTTCCCCACGAGGGGCTGTCATCGAATTCATCTGACCAACAGAGTAGCCTCAGGGGATGTACCTTGTGAATAATGTTGCCAGATTTAGCCAATAAATATGGAGGAAGCTCTGCGAGTTTCAAATTTCAGGTAAACAAATTTTTTTTTAAGATTTTATTTTTGTTTACTTTTTTCAGTGCAAGAAGGTGATTTTATTCTATTTTTTTTTTTACTTTTTAAAAATTTTTTTTTTTTTTTAAATTTCTGAGAGAGACAGAGACAGCATGAGCAGGGGAGGGTCAGAGAGAGAGGGAGACACAGAATCTGAAACAGGCTCCAGGCTCTGAGCTAGCTGTCAACGCGGGGCTTGAACCTACGAACCGTGAGATCATGCCCTGAGCTGAAGTCACAGGCTTAACTGACTGAGCCACCCAGGTGCCCCATGCCTACCAGTGGTTTTTTTTTGTTTGTTTGTTTGTTTTTAAGTAGAAGTCTGCCCCCTGCAATATTTGGGACACACTTACACTAAAAGTGTTGACCCAAAATTCTGATCCCCACCTGAAAGTCATGCAACATTGTATGTCAACTTTATTCAGATTTAAAAATATATTTGTTTTAATTCTGATTTAATTGGGCATCTTGTTTTTTTTTTTTTTTTTTCCTGGCTAGTCTATCTGTGAGATCTGAGAAAGGGAGAGGTCAGGACAGACTGGGAAAAGCACAGTGAGGGAACCAGGAAGAATTGCCTGCCTGCACCAGGGCACAGGGAGGAAGGCGCCCAAGCCTCGGGCAGGGTTGAAGCCTTTGGGTTTCCAAACCCCTATCACATCCATCATGTTGTACGGCACTAGTCATTACTGTGCCCATCCAACTCCCCCTGCTCCAGGGCTTCTCATGCCTGGCCACACACTGGAATCATCTGGGAGCTTTAAATAATCCCAAGCCTTGGGTCACCCGCCCATCCTGAGATTCTGATTTTAAGTTCTGGGCTAGGGCCTCAGGAGCGTAGACCCCCACCCCACCCTCACCAGGGGCTTCCTCTGTGCAGGCGGGCCTGACACCACTGCTCAAAGCACACATTGTCCAAGGGGCGCCCGGCTGGCTCAGTCAGTAGAGCATGTGCCTCTTGGTCTGTGGGTCATGAGTATGAGTGGAGTTTATTAAAAATTAAAGATATCCTGACCCATTGGCAAGACTTCCCCCATCCCCCATCTCATCCCTCCCTCCCCCTCTCCGTCACCAGCACCATCACCTGCAATGGCTCTGATGCACCCGCAGAGCCTGGCACAGTGTGGCAGCGAGCATCCACCCTGGCCCAGGGTCTCTGGGAGCTTCCCACACGGGGGTGCACCTGCTCTGCTCCCCCTCCTCCCCTCAATGTGACAATGGCCCGGTTCCCACCACAGGGCCCAGGGGAGTCCACCTGGGGGAGACGGAGAAGTGGGCCCCCTGAGAGACGGGGCCCAGAGACACTCTGATGATGTCTCTGAGACCCCGATTTTCCACACAGAGCAAGGGAAAGGCCCTAAGGGGCAGGAAGGCAGCCCTCTGTTACGTCATCTGTACAACCAGTTGCATTTTTAAAATGTTTATTTATTTTTAATGTTTATTTATTTTTGAGAGACAGAGAGCAAGTGGCGTAGGGCAGAGAGAGAGCATGGGAGACAGAGAATCCCAGGCAGCTTCCACGCTGTCAGCGCAGAGCCCTATGTGGGGCTTGAACTCACGAACCGTGAGATCATGACCTGAGCCGTAACCAAGAGTTGGACGCTTAACTGACCAAGCCCCCCAGATGCCCTACTAGTTGCGTCTTTGGGTGGTCTTGAGGGCAGCTTATTTCTCTTAACTCCTTTCCTGGACTTCGGATCTGCTCTTCACACCTCGTTGCACTGAGCACATTTTGTGTTACTGAATTTACCTTTTCAAACTCAGTCTGTTTCGGGCAGGGTCCCCTGGAGACAGAAACTGAGATAGAGGATTGCATGCAGGGTCCTGCTAGGGCGAGCTCTCGGGGTCAGACCCTGTCAGGGAGCCGGAAGCAACCCTGGGCAGAGGGACAGGTCAGCCATGGTGATGCCGCTGCCATAGAGGCCTCAGCCCAGCCCATGGGAACTCGGGAGCCAGAAAG